CAGAGTGCGCTAATCCGCCCTGCCAAGCTGTGGAGTGCTTCATTTCCCCATGCTCAGGTTCAAAGCCTTCCTGATGTGTTGGGCCACTGCCCTCGACATCACACGCTTCACAGCAAGCACAGCTCTGGGGCCTGCCCCATTCCAAAGGACCCTCTGCCTGGGCAGATAAGAGCACTGCTGGCAGTGGCACTGCAGCCATCGCTCTGCAGCACGTGTGGAAGCGTGCGCGATGCTCTGGTACCCTCTGTGTCAGGGAGCTGGGTTACTTAACGTTTCTGTTGGCAACTGCTCTATTTTCTAGGAATCCCAAAGAAAGACACCTTTGTGCCCTCTTTTCTCAGTGTTGTCATTGCATCTACAGCCAGTTATCAGCAAAGGTAGATAACGGACTGTCTGACCTGCTCTCGTGCAGCAGCTCTGATATCCTTCTGGGATCTGCGCTCCAGTGCCGTTGCTGTCAGCCTCCAGGCAGCCAGGGGACAATGCAGATGTCTGTTCATCGCCGAGCTGAGGCGTTGAGAACAATGATGGTATTTCTTGAAGTAACAAGTCCTGGGCATGTGCAGTGTTGGACTGTAGCACTGGTGTTTTTTTTCAGGAAGCAGCAGGCCAGGTTGGAGCACCCACGAGTACAAACCTAGATTAAATTTGCACCTTTCTGATAGCTGCAAAGCACAGAAAAGGGAGCAAAGGCTGTCTTTGAGGTGCTCACCTGTTACACTCGTGGCCTGTAGCGTACACATGGCTGTTTGGCATTAGGAGATGGGTGCAAATGCTCATTCAGCAGCACAGAGGGGGTTAAAGCAAACCCGCACAGGCTGGTTGACTGCAGCTCCTGGCTTTCATAATGCAAAGCTGGTGGGAACCCAGCCCAGTGCTCCTCTCCCCCTGCCCCTTCCCCTGCTGGAGGCACGCTGACCTTCCTGGCTCCCGGGGAGCTGCCTGCCAGCGCACAGCAAGGCCTTGCAGAAAGCAGAGGCGTAAGCGCATGAAAGATGAGATTATTAGACTTTCTTGGGAGAGCACTGAAAGAGTAATTTTCTGGCGTGCTCGTGTTGTTTCCTTCCAGGGCGGCTGGTATGTAGCATGCCTCTCTCCTCATCTGGGACCTGTAGATTTCTCCTTGCAGGGAGCCTACTGATGCAGCTGGTGTATGCAGTATCTCCACCCCTCTGGAGATGGATACGTGGGGATGTTCTTTGCTTTGCCGTGCCCTCTGTGTGATGCACAGCAAGTTGCTTAGGCCAGAGCCCAAAAAGGTATTTTAACTCTTAATCCTGTTCTTTGCTTAGATCTCAGGAAGGTTCAGGCACTTTGGTGTGGATCTACCCCCTGGACCTGTGCTATTTGAAGTGAGGTGTTGGAGGTACAGCCAGCATGCTGCCATGTGACAGGAGTGTGCCAATTCCCAGAGGAGGAAACTTGTTTGTGCAGCACCTGGCACACTGCTCCGTGCTGCCAAGGCTCCTGCAGTGCTGACCCTGCTGCCAGACCCTGCATCCTTCCCTGTAACCACACTTTGCAGTAGAAAAGTGTGAGACAGACAGTGCAGCCCAGGACCTCTGGTGCAGCGTTTGCTTTAAGCACAGCACCATCGTGGCATTTTTCCTAATGTGTAAAATCCCCTCTCCCTCCCTGCTGTTAGCAATAACCCTTTGGAAAGTTGGAAGGGCTCTCCGCTTCCTTTCCTGCTCACACGCGTGCACTGGAGTGCCTCACCAGCAGTGCTGGGCTCTTTGCACTGGGGGGAGGTTTTTTCCTACTTTCTCAACTCGAAGAAGAGTGTGTAGCATTTGTTTTGGAAACAATACCACTTCTAGGAGATTACATGGCCTCTGCAAACAGATCAGTATAAAACAGGTCGTGTGCTTTGGGCTGACTCCGGAGCTTGTATAGGATAGCTGTCTCCTTCCTTGCTTTCTGGTTTCATGTCCAATGTGTTTATCAAGTGTTCTTTCTTTTTCTCTTTTTTTAAACATCCAAACCTTTAAACTATGTAGCACAAACAGGATGCTTAGCACCTTCCCACTGGTCTCCACTGGTCAGTACTTTGGTTGCAGGGCAGCCAAATGTGTAGGGATTTTCCACCTAGCTTTTCTCCAGGAAAAGTAATGGCAGATATTAACAAGAGGTTGTTTATCATCGGCTGTTGAGAGATGCTAACTCTCCTCAACTTTCTTTATTACAGATTTCTCTTGGGGGAAAAAAAAGAGTTTCCTGTCTCCTTCCTGTAGCAGCAGGCGATCTGGGTGGGAAGCAGATAGCACTGCAGTCACAAGGAGCACTTTCCTGGCCTTGCACGGTGTCCCAGGGCAGTGGGGCCATAGGAGAGCTTTGATACCTCCCTGCTCCATGGGCTGCAGTGCTGGCGTTGTGCTGGGCTTGCAGGTGTCCGTGCCACCTTGTCCTTGGCTGCTAAAGTCATCTTCAGTGAGGGTCAGGTCTGACACTTGTAAATGTGCTCAAGTGTTGTCCTTGGCCGTGGGATTTCTGGCCATGTTGTTCCTTTAGGAGGCACTGAGATCATGTTGGCAGGACTCAGAATGTGAATCCGTATCAGCTCTGCCCCGGGTTGTGATAAACCTGGAGTGTTGCATCCTGGGGCTGGAAACCCAGGCAGAAGTTGGCGCATTACCTCCACACGTGCATCTCAATGCCAGAGCTGCTGCTTTGTCTGCCATGTGCTGAGCTGGAGGAGAGCGGCTGGGCAGCAGCCACGTAACTAGGGAGCCTCTGCTTTCTGTATCAAACTTCAACAAAAGAATCCTGGGATGGTCCTGGGAACTCCTAAGTAATGTTCTGGGTGGGATTCTCAACGCGAAGCTGAGTCGCTGTGATTTTCCTCCCAGTTCCGTGCTGCCTGTGATGTGTTGCAATGCTGATGGCTGATGGATCAAGCCTAGCCTGTGCCAGCTGTGACTGCCATGGGGCACGGCCATCCAACAAACCCAGGTGGATGTAAAGGTTTGAGAGAGCCTGTGCAATTAGTGCATCGTTCTCTTAGGCAATTTGAGCCAAAATAGTGGGTTGTAATGTATGCTGATGGTTACTCAAATAGGTGAAAATCCTTGGGATTGAGCATCCCATGTGTGTACCCTCTGAAGGAGCCTTTGTGTAGTGTTGCTGAGGCTTGGTTAAAATCTGCAGCTTGGGTGTTAAGGGCAGAAGTGAGGGCACCTGGGTGGGAACCCAGCCCAGGTTACCCAGCATCTCTGGCAGGTAAGATTCCCCATACAAGAGCCTGATCTGGAGTTTCCCATTTAGACAAACCCAACATGGCAGCCTGCTGAGCTCCTTTAGCCAACTGCATTAAGCTAAGACTTCTGGGGGTGAAGGCCAGAGATGCTCCTGAGTTTGGCACAGCGCATTTCTGCCTGGGCGCCTCTGGGCCAAACCAGAGTGCTTTGCTTTGGGAGAGGGCTTCAACCATTCTGGAACTGGAGACCTCAAGAAATGAAGAATGCTTCTCCTTCTTGGAGATGAACTAACTGATTATGGAGCAAATGGTTTGAACCAGATAAAAATACACCAGGACATTCCAGAAGCCAGCAAATTGCTTGTGCTGTGCTTTCGTGGGCAGTCACCAGGACATGGCTGTGTTTGGGGCTGTTTAATCAGCAGCATGCTGCTGTCCCTCTGCTCTCCAGCACTCTCCAGGTCTGCCCATCTCTGAGGACGCACGGTGGCTGATTTGTGACACTTCCCAACTTGACCAAGGGCAAACTCCAGAGCCTCATAGCTGTGAGCGACCTTTCTTCCTCGTACGTGGAGATAGATAAATGTCAGGGTGGATGTCTGCCACCTGGCTGGTGCATCATCCTATCCATTTTTATACATGCACCTTGAGCCTGGATTACATACATATGTTGGTTTGTTTTTCTGTTGGTGATAAAGCTGAAAACACAGCTTGTGTTGGAAGGAAAGGGGCTGTTGATGTTAAATATTGATACCAATACAGAAGGGCTATGGCTGTGAGTGTGGGAAGCCTCAAAGCGTTAGCTCAGAGATTGTGCTGAATGCCGTGGGGATCCACGGCGCTGTGTGAAGTGAAAGAGAGGGCTTTGTGAAGTGCTAACACGCTTCAGATGCAGGCATAATGGACGAGGTTCTCTTGGGCGTGCAGGCTGTGGACTTGCAGGGCTGAGAATGGGAACAGGAAGATACAGAAAGGAATGAGTCTTGGGAAGAGGCCCCGGCAGAGAGTTTTTTTATTTACTTTGATTTGTGATGTAACTGAAAAGAAAGCAGCTGCCCAGAAATCCAGGCGCCTATGGATTGATTGCTGTAGAGGAAAAGGTGAAGACCCCATTCCTTGGAAATGCTCGGGCACAGTGAGTTGGATGCAGTGGGTTGTCGGAATGGCCAGCACCTCTCTTTGGAGATGGCTGCTTCGTTTGCTCCGTCAGCTGATCAAGTCCAACAGGCATCCAGAAGGCACGATAATGGCTGGGAATTTCAAAGCAGCTTTCAGCGTTGTTCTCATGTCTCAATTATTTTGGAACTCAGAGCCACAGGCAGAGTTAATGTTGGGGTTTGTTGCCCCTTCTCCAACACAGCATCCATGACGTGGCTTGTGCATACCTGCTGCTTTTCAGAGAGCTTGTGAGCAAAGGCATGGCTTTGTGCAGCCTGAGTGTGCTGCTTCCAAATCCTTGCTGACTCCAAGCCTTGCTGTGCTGGGTCTGACACACTCTCCTGCAACTGGATTTGCTGAGCAGCACCTGCTGGGGCACGCAGGTTCCAAGCACTGCCTCCATGTTTTGAAGCCCCCCTTGAAGATGGAGAGCTGGCTGTGGGGTGTTCTCTGTGTCTCAGTGCTATCTCAGTAAGCCATGTTGAAAGGTTCCCTTTGCAAGCATGCTCTTGGGTGGTGCTGGAGACAAGGGCCTGGGTTAGCTGGGCACTTGGGCATTGAGTGACTTGCAGTATCTGCTGCTCCCAAAGGTACTTTGCACACAGATCTGTCGTGGAGAGTATGGGGACAGCATCATTTGTGGCTTAGAGCTGAGCCTTTGTGTCATCAGAGTGCATCTCTACACGCAGTTGCTAGTGCTGATGGTGCTTGCAGTCATAGCTCACCCACTGTTACTTTGTGGTATCTTCATTTTTTTTCTTAAATTAAATGGAAGCTTCAGTTTCACACGTTTCTTTCCAGATTTCTTTAAAGCTCTTACGTTCACCCCTCCCTGCCACTACAGCTTTCCCTGGTAGATTATAGCCTGCTGGAGAACACAGAGCACATTGTGAGGCCCAAGGCAGGAGCTGACTCAGCAGTCCTTCCCTTTAGGCCGCTGCTGTTCATGGAACGGAAGGTTAGGTTTAAAATGCTTCTGCCAAAAAATGTTGCTGCTGTAACAGAACTGGTGCCCGTTTCATTAGTAGTTGCTGCATCCTTTAACTTAAGCTTCATAAAAAATTGCAGCCCTCTACAGCCTTAACTTAAACACTGGGAAAGAGGGTTTTCCTTTCGCATGCTGGAATAATTCTGATTTTTCCATGAGAAGTGTTTGGGATTTCCTCCCCAGATCTCTGGAGAAAGGCCGTGTCCTTGGCATGGCTTGTGCAGCTCAATGGCCCCTGTCCTTAAAGGATTAGACCCATGTAAATTGGAGTCCTGGGAGCTGCCAAAGGGAGATGAATGGGCCCGAATGGCAGCGTGTGGCTGGTGGCAGGTTTGGGTCCATGCGTGGTCTTTCTGGATCAGGTCCTTCTGCCCTCCGTGGGGCTTCCCCAGATCCCGCTGGGATATCTGCAAAGAGCCTCCCACCTTCTGCTCAGACCATCCCAGCTCTGAGACACACGACCAGATCTGCAGGCATTGCACTCAGCTCCTGTAGGAGCACCGCCGTTGTTCTTCCGTGCTGCAGGGATACGTCACTGCCTTGTTGTGCTTCATCTGCTGAGAACAGGGGATGGAAATGGTGCTGGGTGAGTCTTCCTTTCCCTTCCTACTGTCCCTGCTGCTCAGAGCAATGCTGGAGCTTGTGGGTATCCAGAGCTGATCGGTGTGCCCGAACCAGACCTTGCTAATCCCCGTGAAACCAGCTGCAGGCATGGCAGCAACGAAGGACTGGCTGGGGTGGCCAAGTGCCGCTAATGTGAAGAGGAAGAGGAATGTTAACGAGTTTCTGTGTTCTCTGTAGAGCTAGAAGTGATGACCGAAGTGATGTTCCAAGGAGAAAGTGGCTTTTGAGGAGGGCGGCGGCCAGGGAGCAGAGCTTCACACCGCTGGGAATGGCGGCTGTCTGTCATTCCAGAAATACACTCAGTGCCATTTTTCCACCAGGAGAATTAGAAGTTATGCAGGCTCGGCCTGGTTTCGTTAATGGATTTAAAACAGGTTTTGGCAGAAAGCAGCCAAGCACATCAGGAACGGAGCAGAAAATATTCTTCATGAGTCCAAGAGCCTGGAAACTGCCTCTCACACATCTACAGCAAGTGACAAATGCTGTTCTGGTTGTAATCTGAAATCTTTCTCTTTTCTCCCTCCCTGGCATCCATCTTGTGCATGAGTGCTTAGGCTGTTTGTTAGCAAATTTAAAGGCACAGTGCTATTGTGGAGTCACCGTAGGACTCCTGCACAGGAGGAGGGACGTGTTGCATTAAAAGGTACTTACTAAAGCAGCTGAATTCAGTTTCTTGATTGCTTTGGCTACAGCTCGAGGTGCTTAATCATTTCCTCTTTTATTTCTTCCCTAGTCTGCTCTGCGTTTTTGACAGGTGATTATTAGTGCTGAAGGAGCTGACAGCTCCGGTAGTCTCAAGTGCTGCCGAAGTCCTGATGCTAGTTACAGTGCACACAGGTTGCCTCTGAGTACTTGGAGAGCAAGGTAGAGAGCCAGCACAATATAAAGCGTGTCTGTCCAGGGCAGCACCTGCCATGGTGCAGGTGCTGGCAGAAGGGGGAGGGCTTTGACTTTGTGGGGTGTAGTGCAGGTTGGGAGCTCTGGAGCAAAGCAAGGTCAGTGATGCCCAGATGCAGTGACAGCAGGTCACCAGCTCCATCTGCCTGCCTTTCTCTCAGCCCTCCCACCTGGAGTTCCCCACTGACCCCCGCTTCTGGGTTGACTGTTCACATTCCGCTTACAAAATTCATCTTGTAAGTGGATGATTCTTAATTTATCCGAGTCGGAAGGAGAAAGCGGTCAGTGTCAGACACAAACCCAACACTTGAATACCTGTCTCCTCTGCTGGAAGGCTGTGGGGATGCTCGGACTGGTTGCGTGGGACATCCCAGTTACACTGTGTGACAGGTTGGAATAAGTACCACGCAGGCTGCAGCTCTACCTCGAGATCTGTTGACAGAAGGAGAAATATTCCACCGTGGTGGGGCTTTGGAGAAGAGCCTCACGGACAGGGTTTTGACAGCTGGAGCTAGGTCATGTCTGAGGTCCCTCCAACCCAAGCCATTCTATGGTACGATTTTAACTAGCAAGTACTAAGATGAAATTAATTCTGTGCAGGGCCCTGTTTTAACTTCTTAGTGTGTGACAGAGACAACCCTTTGTGATTGTCATTGAAGTTTGCCAGTTTCTTGCACGCGGGGCTCACTACTTTCATGCAGAAGTTATGCTGCTGTATCATGTTTTCAGAATAGGTAGGTGCAAGCTATGAGAGTTGTTTTTCTACTGTGCTGTTACTCTGCTTGCTTCCTCACCCTTAGTCTGCGTCTGTACGCTTCTAAATAGTAGGAGGAAGAGGGCAGAGAAAGAACAAAGGCTCATAATACGAATGGAAGGAAACTAGGGAAATTCGGGAGGAAACGGACAGTGAGAAATACAAAAAGATCCAGCTGTGCTGAATGCAGGGGGTGTGAGTGTGTGGGGATGCTTTCTGCTGGGTATTCAGAGGGGCAGTGCTCAAGACCTGCATTGTGGAGCTGAACTTTCCTTTGAGTCAGTGACCTATTCAGACACCTAACAATGTCCATTATGTGCAGTCAACTTGTTTATGCCTGGTGCTGGACTTCATTACCTTTTTTTCACGTACAATAAAACAATATCCTCCTTGCAGAGCAGCCAGGCCTAGCTCTGTTTTGCTCTGAATGCCTGACTGTCTGCTTTGAGCAAGCACCTCAGCTTGTGCTTGACGGCAAGATGCCCAAGGAGAGCATCTGCTGATGAAAACACTTTTTTCTTGGTTGACTGATAGCAGAAGTCCCTTCTCTTCAAAGGACAAGGGGGGGGGGGAAGTAGCAAGAGGTGGACAGGCTTGCAATGATCACACCCTTCCCTGAGGCACTGCACAGAGGTGAGTCCAAAGCCACACTGGGGTCTGGGGGCACCAGCCCATGGTGCTCCTGCATCCCTGTGGGATGGAGAAGAGCAGTGGAGCCTGGGGCACTGCGAGAGCATTCCTCCCTGCCTTAGAGAGGTGAGCAGTGCAGCTGTGTCCTTGCAGATGGAGCTGCCAGCCTGTGTGAACTCTGTGTAGATTTGCTCTGCAGCTAGCCCAGGGTTAGCCTATCGAGGAACCCGCTGAGAGGCTCTGTGCTCCCTGCAGAGCTCAGCACGGCAGCTGCACGAGTGCCTCAGCTTGCTCTATGCTGGAGATATCCTCTTGGCCCTGAGTAGCCCAAGGCTTTTGCCCTGTTACTCAGATACAGCTCCAGCACCAGCTGGCACCAGTTGTCAGGTCACGTGGCCGTGCCACTGCTTTAACGAACGTGGGAGCTGGAGTACAGCTTTTGGATTAGAAAGCACGGCGTAAGATAGGACTTGACCTTAGCCTGGAGTTTTCTGCAAGAGAACGTCATTCTCAGCTGAGGGAGGTGCACAGCAGAGCAGCTGTGAGCAGTGATTGAAAGCACTGGAGCTGGAAATAACGTGTGGGTTTGGTTGGGAGAGTAATTTGGGCACTGGAGCAAGTCTGTGCAGGCAGCAGTGCTTTCTCCTTCTGCTTAAAGGGTAAAAGCATCTTGGCAGCTTGCTGCTTCAATTGCACACCCTTGTTTTGTTTAGCCACCACTCATTCAGATAGGGCTGCTTAGCTGCTGTAGATGTAGAGAAAAAATGAATTCTCTGCATTCAGGGAAACATCTGTCATCCTTCTGAGCAGAACCTGCAGTGAATGCTGTTCATGGAGCATGCAGAGAGCTCCAGTTTCATTCCGCAGCCATGCTATTGCTTCCAAGAGAATAGGACAGGCTGCAAAAGGTGGAGAAGGTGGCTTAGCAGCATTGCCCCACATCTCCAAAGTCAAGCGGGGCCTCTGTGAAGCCTGGGATGTGTGTGCAGCAGCTTCTGTTCATGTTTGTTCTCAGGACGTTGTGCAGCTTTGCTAGCTGAGCCCTTTTGATTGTCTTAAGCGTAGTACCAGAATACCGGGCTTCAGTGCAGGTCAGCCTGAGCTGTGCATGCCTGCGTGGATCTTTGCAGTGAGAAGTGAGGAATGGAGCGCTAAGATGGGGAAAAAGTAGGAGCTACAATGCAGCAAGATAATGTCAATCTTATCCTTCCTTTTAATATTCATTGCCAGGCACAGCGATCCAACTTTGTCATTTTTAAGTTAAGTAACCCTTAGTCCTAGTCAGCTTCTGTCTGCGAACATGAAAGGGATGACTGAGCCCACAGCTGCTAACAGCACATCTCAATTACTTATATTTCACTAGGTATTTAAAGATTTAGGTCTGAGCGTAGAGGATGAAAGGGTTTTTCTTTATCTTTTAATAAGAAATTTGTCTTTGCAGCAAGGAAAAAGAGCAAGGGCTGAAGCATCCAGCAGCATGCTCCTCTTCCCTGCTGCCTCCTCTGTGTTGGCTGGGGGTAGGGAGATCCCACAGGGAATAAAACCACGGCCCTCTTGGGCTCCTGCTCACCACAGCCCTGCCCCACTTCCCAAAATTGATGGGTAAGGATGTGTCGTGCTGGAGTTCTCATGACATAGCCTTGCTTGCAATGCAAGAGACCGAGCAATGTACGTGGGAATTAAATATGTGGGGCTTTGCACGCTTCAAATATGAACAACAAAGGGAAGGATCATCTCTTCTCAGTGCCTGTAATGCGAGAAGCTTTGAAAGATCCCTGTAGTCATTTGCTCTTGCTGTCTCCACTGGCTGACAGACCCCTTTGGGAAAGGACATTGTTAGCCTTGTGCTGCTGGGACCTGATGTAAAACAAAGCCAGCAGCTCTCGTGTCCCCTCAAAGGCAACTGCAGGAGCAGAGCTGCTCTCCTTGCAGTAGCTGTGCAGTCTTGCAAATAAGAAAATATACGGTCACAGTGATCATAGAAACCAGCGTGAGTTAAAACTTCTGCCCCTGCTCAGGAGAAGGGTGTGAGCAGCTCCCACACAGCCCGAAGCAGCAGCCAGCGCCACGCCAACAGGTCACAGCAAGCAGCAGAGCAGCTTCAAGGGAGTTTAGTTTGGTGGTGAGCTGTTGTGTGTGGTGTAACAGCCTTCATTGGTGCCTTGGGATGCTTGCTTTGCTGTGAGCTGAAGGAGGGAATGTGGATGGCTGTTGTGGCAGCCTTGGGGTGAGGCGGAGCTGGGTACAGCAGTCCCCATGTGCTCCATGCCGTCAAACGGAGCCGCCTGTGTTCTGCAGCTCCAAGCACAGTGAGGGTGAAGGTCCTAGAGATGTCCAGCAGCTACAGAAGCATTCCTTGTCTGGTGTTCCACTGCACTGTACCCTGCCTGTATTTGTGCTTGGCTGAGAAAGCCTGGTGGTGCTGTGGATGTGCCAGTAGCTCAGCTGCACACCTAATCCAGGCCGGGGATTTTCTTTGCTGTGCCTTCATTCCTGTGCTTTTTAGGCTTATCCAGTTGTTACAGCCTCAGGACCAGCCTGATGGCAAGAGGTGTGAGGTGAGGAGGAAGTCATCCTGCTGGGGAGATGTAGCTGGGAGCCAGTATGCACCAGGTGCTTCCCAGCCTGCTGCTTCATCTCTTTGTATCCCAGGGTTGTGTCCTTCCTCTCTCAAGTGACTCCTAGGATGGAAAAGATCTCATTGCAGTGGTTGAACCCTGAGAGCTGATTCTTTTAGGTCACGTTTCTTGGTACTGCTTGCACCTTTGGTCCCTCTGCTCATGTCTTTGTGCTCTGGCCATCCTTTGCTCCCCTCAGCTCTGAAAGAAGTGCTTGGTGCATCAGAGGAAGTCTGCCTTAGCCCCATAAAGCGGGGGAGCCAGGTAAAACCAACAGTTATCCTCTGAAGTGGCCCCTTGGGACAGTACAGATGCACGCTTTGCTCTTCTGCAGTAGCTGAGCTGTGCTCAGGGGCGCACCCCACCTGGGAGATGCTCCTGGAGGATTCCGCTACAAAGGAGAAGAAAAGCGAGGGGGATTTTTGTTCTTAATGTAAGAATCCCGCATCTAAGCTGTGCCTGTAGGCATGTATTTAACTGGTGAGAGCTGTCAGTTTTTCTTCCAGCAGAATTTATTCTTTTGCTGATGCTGCTTCTGTCTGGAGTTGGTGTAGCAATAACAGAGACAGGAAGCTCCGATTCTTACCTGCACGATGGTCAACGTGGTGCCCCCTGGGCTTTGGGCAGCTTTATTCTCCTCACTGCAAGGCAGGAGATTCCATCAGGGCCCCCAGGGTGAGATTCAGATGCTCACAGATGGGGTCTGGGTATCTAAATCCTCCAGAGGGAATATATTGGGGATTGTAGTTTGCAGTG